CCTTGGATTTCCTGTCGTTGTGACTAAATGTTCCCACGGAGGCGTGAAATCTCACCTTTCACTGACAGTTTGTCTTATTACTCCGCGGCGGCCGCGCCACATCACTGCAGTCTCGGCCCAGCTGTGCAAACACGAGAACGCGCGTGCCCGTGAGAAGGCCGGCTTGTGGGGCATGCCGGCATGTGGCAGGTAAAGCCGTGAGAAGAAATGTGCGGGTATAAACCCAGCCGCGTTGATAGTTTCAATAGTGTTTTTTTGCAGAGCTGGAAAAATCTGCATCTGTCTATGTGATAGCTAAGCCAAATAACGGAGGTGCTCACAGGGAAATGTTCCCACTTTCCCTTTTTTCTTTGATACAAGATGGTTAAAAACTGTTGTGCAAAGACTCATGTGCTTGAATTGTACCTATGAAGTTACAGCATTGCCAGCAGGCAGCCATCTTAACCTAAAATAAATGCACACTGGAAAAAAAAGGCGACACCAGCTAAGTTTACACTCATTTACACTTCATATGTTGTCTTTTTATGTTTACTCTGTTCCGAAACCGAGGGGGGAAAAATGATCGTTTGCTGTTTTATGGCCCATTTGCCAGATTGTTCATGCGATTATTAATTTCCTGATTTGAGCTGAGCCTCATCGTGTGAAGCTGTGACTGAAAAGGCTTTTTTCTGTTGGGCCTTGTCTGTGTCAGAGCTGACGCTTCCCTCCGTCCAAACATCTTTTTGTTCAAGACGTATTAAATCTGTCTGTCTATTTACAAAAAGCTGAGCTTCTTTCATCGTTACTGGAACACCACTGCACCAAAGAAAATGACAGAGAACACTCAGTGTCGTTGTTTTTCCACATTAACTATTTTAGAACCTGTTTGAGTCTCTTTCAAAACCTATAAAACGACTATGTTCTTTTCAAAGTTTACGGTCAACCCTTAATAATCAGTAGGGATGATGCTAATGGGGACATCAAATGAAAACTCATCTTTTCCAGTGGCACAACTATCAAAGATGCAAAATCTTTCTCTGTGCCCTGATATTTCTGTTTGCTTCTATTGATTTCATTCCCAGACTAATGCTCATGTCTTATCGTGCTATTCCATGTTGCCAAGGCTGTCTGTTTCTAGTCTGGTCCCAGTTGTTAAATTCTAGTGGCCGCTTTTCTGGGTGTGTTGCCTGTAAACACTTGTTTGCGTGTCGGGGACATGGGCGTCGGGGGGGGGTGTGTGATTGTAAATGTCTCCCCTCGTGGATCGATATGGTCTCTTTGCTGGGTCTCTGTTCGAGTGTCACGCTTGTCAATCAGCCAGTATTGATTTTCTTTTTATTTTGTTTGTGTTCCCAAGACAACAACGCGGTGCTGAAAAGTTAGCCTTAGAAGCACGCATCAAGAGAGCAAAATGTCAGACACTTTTTGTTGTTGTTATGCTGTTCGGCATTTGTTTAGTGCAGGAAGATCAGCAGCTCTCAGAATGCTGCGACATTTAATTACCAGGCTGTTAAACATAGGGATGATTACTGAAAAATCACATCTGTTATGTGGAAAATATTCATCACCTGGGCTGCTTACAGATATTGTTTGGGAACGTAGTTTGGAGGTTTTTCGCTCCACTAAAGACTGCACGGAATCCCACCTGTTAGTGAAAGCTGTTGATGTGATTTAGCTGAAAAACTGTAAAAAAGGAGATGGAAGGGAAATCAGGTGTTCAGCCTGAGCTGGAAGGATGCACAAGTCAGACTGCAGAAAACACGGAGCAGCATTATTTGATTTGAAACATGCCGGTTGGAAACACGGGGAATATCTAAATGTCCGTGACTGACAAAGAGCGTTTTCTGTGATGAAGATTGAGATTAGCCTGCTGCTAACAAGCCGCCAGAGGATTCACGTCAGCGCAAAGAGGAGCATCTTTGTCCGGCAGATAATTCAATTTATTCACGTAAATAATCAATAAATCAGATCCCAGGAACCGGGCGGCTTCAGCCGTAAACACTTTATGGAGAGATGCAGAGATGAGGACCCCGCTCATGAAGCCTTTTTCTCTTTGGGCGTTTACATGGAGACTCTCTCTCTGGACCTCCGTTTACATTATGGACTCCCTCCTAAATATTTCACAACGCTTTTTATTTATTCTACAAATGAAAAAGCTGCACTGTTTTATCTGATTTCTGTAAAGTTTAGATTTCTCTTCAGAATTAGCTCTCAAGGCCCGTAGGAGGACATTCCAAAGCTCATCTTTGCTCATCTGGCTGTCAGATGATCCCACACTGCTGCAGTAATGTTCTGTCTTATAGGATTCGTCCTATAAGACCTGCCCCGACTAATTGTCAGTCCACTTCTTGTCTTTAGTCCCCTGTTTTGATTCAATAAGAACAGCTTATTCCAGTGAGACCGTGTCCAAGGCTTTATTGAACAGTAAACGGATCAGCTGAAAGCGTCCATCTTTTTCTTGCCTTTTTCAAAAATCTCAACAGCAGAGAAGTAGGTCATAAAGAGCCTTCAGGTAAAAACAGTGGAGAGAGGAGACACAGCGGGATGACTGAGATGACAAGAGAATAAAAGACATCAAATATAAAAGAATCGACTGCTTTTTGCTAATTCTGTAGACATCTTGTGTCAATATGTCTGCAAACGGAGCGACACTCTCATGGCATTAATTACTCACTTTAACAAGCCAATTTCTCCTTTTTATATGGTTGATAAAAGTGTTTATTATTCTAAAGGTGTGTGGGAATAAAAACATCCACATAAAAGGAAATCTTAGCAGCCCGGCGAACTTTGGATTTAATCGGCGTAACTCGGCCGATTAATTCGGATATTTTCTCCCTTTCTGCTTCTCTACTTGTTTTTCTCTCTTTCTCTCCTCTCATTGTACCTGTGAACCGGTTGTTCCGAAGCGTCCGGCCGTCTGAATGGTGGCATCATCTGAAACCGGCAATTAGCGCCCTTAAATAGATGTGCACAAATTAGGCGGGAGCGCAGCTGAAAGAAGGCCAGCTGGGCCAGAGACCAGGAGGCTCCCACACTTCAAGGCCGCTGCATCTGTTTGATAAATATCACCGTCTTTTAAGGTCAATTATCATGTTCCGAGGTGTGGAAAGCCTCAAACGGCGGGGGATCGGGCTCGATGTTTCACGGTTTTCCGTCAGCATTTGGCTGACCTTTTTTCCGATGAGCCCAACATGTTCAGTTTTTTTTTTGTTTGTGGGCAACAATGAAGCATTGTACCACACCTTGGGAAAATTGAGAATAAAATGCCACCCATTTAATCTTAAAGGTAATTACAAAAAACATGTTATTAGATGTATAATTAACCCTGATAATAATCACTTAATCCATCTTGCCTGTGCAACTCTGTCCGGAGGAATTGAACCCATTCTCATTCCCTACCGGTCCCACGATGACTCTAAAGACTACTCTACTGTTTGCCATTACTTTGCTGGACAGATGTTTCCTCCAGTTTTTCTGGAGTATGTTTTGCAAATGTTTTCTATTTAGATCTTTGGAGACCAAACCTGTTTCAGCTATTTATTATTTTTTTCCTTTTTTTTTTTTCCTTTCCCCCAAAAGGATTTTTAAAAATGTGTTTTTCCTCGCTCATTTGAGACACTCTTGCTTCATTTGCTGCTCCACACCGATCTATTGCTCTGTTTGTCTTCAGGTATCACTTTTCCTGGTATACATGCTTCACTGCGCACTTTGAATTAAGCTTACGTTTGCTCTGAAATTTTTGTTGTTTTTATTGTAATCAGCTTAGCAGGGGTGTCCAAAGTTGTTCCTAAAGGCACGCTATCCTGCAGGTTTTAGATGTTTCCCTGCTTCAGCGCTCCCAATTCACACAAATGCGCCATTATAAGGCTTCAGCGGAGCTAAACAATCTTTTTTAACTGATCCATTTAATCAGATATAAGCTACAGGCTCTCAAGTTAACACTTCAACACCCTGCTTTGTTTCACTGATTATACCCGGTCACAGGATATACCAGAAAACCAGAGGAAGTGCACTTACTTAAACTAGCTCTTAATTAAGTTTAGGTATGTAATGCCTAAGATAAACACAAGTTAGGCTTTCTTAGACTTTCTTTTTTTAATTCCAAACTTTTAGCATAAAGTGTTCTTCCAGCTATCTGTGAGATAGCTGGAGGGACAAAGAAACTGCAGAAAAACGCAAATAACCATTTCCCCATCTTCTTTTTCTATGCGTAGATGTTAAAGGGTTCAACACATTCCTAGAGTTGTGCTTAAAAGAAAGGAATTTGATTTGTGTGCGCTTACTGTACAGGACAGATTTCCATGCATTTTGAAACTTAAATTTCACGCGTTCGCTCTTCGGTGAACTGAAGGAAGCTCTCTCCTCTCTTTTCATGTCATGGAAGGGGAATAGAGCCCACAATCCGGGTCTGTTTGTTGCCTTCAAAACAAAACCCTTTTCACATGAAACAAAAAAAGGGAAAAAGTGAAGCCTCAATTAGGACAAACCAGCTATCTGATGAAAGCCTTATCCCAACAGGAAGCTACTTTCTGCAGTGATTGCTGAAGGCATAAATAGGACATGCGGACAGATGCTCTTTGTTTTCTAAGACAGAGGCTGACCTTTTGAGCTGCGCGCAGGTAATAACATCAATTTAACGGCAGAAGATTTGTGAGCCCTCTCTGGCGGGAGCTAATGTTCTCTCCTAAGCCTGGCAGGCTGGGTGTGTTAGCGCGGGGAGGGCTGCGGTTGGCTAATGCAGAACAAACTACGTATAAACTCGCATAAACCTCGCCAGTTTCAACTGGGCTTAGCAGGATTTGCGAGGAGAGAGTTAACGCGGCGAGGATGGCGAGGGAAGAGGGGAATTTAGGTTAAAGGACAAGAAAATATTTGTACAGATGTGGAGCCGGCCGCGCGCGAAGCTTTCATAACCATCTTAAAGAGAAGCTTTACGAGGGTTTCTGGGGGGTGTTACTGACTATTACGAGTTTCTTCCTGTTTTTGTGCTGCGGGTGTTTAGGAGGTCAAAAGAGCACAACATGGTTGGAGGTACATTATAGATAGGCACACAGAAGTGCATCTGGGGAAGTTTTAATCTTTCATCTTACATCTGGAAGGCTTTTTTTAATATGGTATTTTATTGACGTTGGCAAAACAGGGATTGAATGCAAAGGAAAGAAATTGTGCTTTTTTGAAAAAGTGCGCTGTTAATTAGTATTTATTCTTCAAGCTGCTGTACAGAATGAAAAAGTTAACAAGGCTAATTAGCTCGTTTCATGTTGTACCTTTTATGTTTCTGAGTTGTTTCCTTGTGTGGGCACAATTTATTCCTGGTGGTTTCTCTCTTTGTTATAATACACAAAGTCATCTCTGTCCTTATTATTCTTTGCAGTTAAATTGCTGCACTTATATGGACATTGTACCAGAATTTACCCCAGTTTCTTTTCTCTGTTTTACTTAACACTTAACAAAAATTTTAGATAATTGGGATACAGAGTGTGAAAAGTAATTGCAGACCCCAGCAATTTGAGCCAAACCATCAACCGACATCAAAAAAACCCGCCGACCAACATTTTCAGCCACTTGGAAGACATAACTGTAACCATTTTAAACGACAGATAATTCTGTTATGGTGGAAGTATAGTGACATCTTCCATGAATCCTAATACTATTTACTTGCATATGGCTTCCATGCATTGAGGCGGTCCACTGCAACGATCCCCTGCGTGTGTGTTTGTGTGTGTGTTAAGGCTCAGATTCATGTATGTTGTGTCTGATTAAATCAAAGTTGGGACTGGACTTGCCAGAGGTCAGTGTGTGATGCACTGTGTTGGTTAGTAAGAAAGCAGATGTGAAACTTGTGCTGGGCTGTTCCCTCTGCCCTCGTCGCCTCCTCACATGACCGGCGGGTCAGCTGCTTTGCGGTTTCGGTGAATTTCTCTCTGCCTTTTGGGCCCTGGAGGGAACTCACCCGGCCTCTGTGCTCCGTTGTTTTTCGTGAAGAGGAGCAAAAACTAAAACTAAACAGGCACATCTGAGGACGTCCTGGTTTAAGAGGCACATATTCGAAGTGTGTGAAGCAGGAGATGAGCGCGGTGGTTAAAACCTGGTGCCATTTCTGTCTGTTCCTCACTCTTCTGTTTTGTGTTTCTGTGTGTCTGCAGGTTTGAGCGCTGCAAAGCTGTTGAAATCCAGCGGTCTGAATCCCGTGGTGCTCGAGGCCAGGGATCGGGTTGGCGGTCGCACCTTCACCGTGCGGGTATGACCAGGGCCGACAACCGCAGGCCTCTGTACCGTCAGAATGAGAGCGTTTAGCACTGTTTTGTAACGTTTGTTTTTTTCTTTTTCCAGAACAAGGAGACAAAGTGGGTGGATCTGGGCGGGGCTTATGTGGGACCGACGCAGAACCGCCTCCTGCGGCTGGCTAAAGAGTACGGCATACAGACCTACAAAGTCAACGAGAAGGAGAATCTGGTGCATTATGCCAATGTAAGTCTATTTTTTTGTTTTCGAATCAAAGTTTTGTCAATGACCTTCAGATGTATTAATATGCAAATTGGTACTCAAAGCAAACATCCCCAGATAGAAAACTCCAAAACTCATGTCCGTGTTAGTTTTCCGATGCGATTCTACTGCTTAGCAACGAGGATCTATACACCCATTAGCTCCACATAATCTGCCATAAACTGCTTTCACGGCTGTTCTGTGTAAGTATCAGAAATGTTGATGGCAGTATTTTGCCACGAGAACAGAATAAAGTCTATCAGCAGAAAATCTCTCATCTTTTTTAATTTAATTAAGTTACAGTTTTAAGCTGTGACATAAACTCCGTGTTAGAAACAATCATAAGAACCAAATTAGAAAATCCAATAGATTAATCGGATAAATCAAATAAAAGCTTTGCAGTGATTATATTGCTTGCACATAGAAACAATTATTCAATTCTCTACTCTATTATGGATGGAATTTTTACAAAAAGCACCAACATACCTTTTCATAAATGACAACTGGTAAAATTCCAGTTGGTGGATACCTGTCAGGTCTTATTTTTTGATAAGATGACATTAATTGCATTTGATATTCGGGTCTGGAGACCCAAAAAGGGACCTCTGAGGAGGCCTGCAGATGTAAAACAAAAACAAACTCACAATTGGCAGCGTTTGACTTGCTTAATTTTTTTTTTTTTTTTAAGAGCTGGAAATAAAACGGCTACAAAAAGGCCAAAATTTATGAATTCTAAGATTGTCACAGGGCGTCAACACTTTTGGGGAGGCTCTTTAGGGAAGGTAAAATAATGATGCTGGAAGGGACCCAATGATGCTGGACCCATAGCAACCATCCCACCTGGGGAATGATCTGAGAAAAAGCAGATGTTTTGTGTTTTTCCCGCTGTGTTTTCCTCCATATCTGTTGAGCAGCCAGGCTCAGCTCTGCTGTATGAGCGACTGGAGATGCTAATCTTCGCCTGAGGGGTTCCTTTAATGCAGTTTCCCTTTTTCTGAGTGGTTGAAAGGCACACAAAAAAGAGAGGAAGAAATACTGAGGCCATCTTCCTTTGTTCTTGTTATTCTTTCCTCCATATCTCATTAGCGTGGGTGCACGGCTGTCCTTAACACAGCCGTGTTCTTCCACCTGATTTGATTTGCCTTCGTGGCCGTGTACCCTGGTCAAACTAACCTGATGGCAAAGCACTGGACTGGATTTGTGAGGCTGGCGGCTTTCTGTGTGTGTGTGTAGGTGTGTGTCTGAAAAGGGCCAATCAAGTTCTAATCAAAACTTGACTGGTGGACTTTGAACGTTGCTCCATGGGCAAACAGCAGACTTTCACTACTTTATCTGCTTTTGTGTTCACAACACACACTGCTGAGCAGAAATTAACGACTAAATAAACTCTAACTGATGGACTTTTAGACTTTTTTTTTTATTGCAGCTCAATTTAAAACTGGTTATGACCAAAGTCTGTGTACAGCCCTTACTGTACTCCGATTAGAACTTTCCTCTCTTGCTAGTGACTCTGGATTTGGTTGAAGTCAAACCAGCTGTATCAATGAAATGGTTTGCACATTTAAAATGGTGCACGTGAAGTGTGATTTCTACACTGTACAGCGTGTAAACCAGGTTTTTACTGCTTCAGCGTACAAATCGCTGCCATGACAGTCCAATTTCTTCCTGCATTTGGAGAACATTCAATTTAATTTTTGGAGCACTCTCAAGGTGCCGTTCAGCATATGGCAGCCGCCCACAAAATGTGTCTGTCCGACAAAACCAGACCTCCAAAATGCATTCCGACATGTCCAATCATACAAAATCAAGCTTCTCAAAACTGTCCTTTTGCACTAAAAAAAAAAAAAAACTCAGTAAGACACAAATGTGTCCAGGTGCTCTGCACATGATCTGCAGAGTAATAATGTTGCGAAGGCGGTGGTTTGTGGCAACATTAATTACACAGTGTGGAAATACGCGTTGATAAAGTATCTTATCTATATTTGTCAATAAAGCTGCTCCCATTCACTGGCTGTTTAACATTTTTAAAAAATGTATTAGTCATCTGACAAAATGACCATCCCAGTAACTTGCAGTGAGTCCAGCCACATTTTCATGTATTTAGAACTATGGAGGCCACAGCAGATGTGTTTTCTCAGAGAAACTTGCATCATGGGACAATTTTCCTTATCCCAATCTGTGTTTGTATTCTGAGGATACGGTGGTTCAATTTAATGGCCAAGTCGAGCTGTAGCTGTAGCTCTAGGTCAGTTCGGACTATGCATCTTGTATTTTTTTATCAGTGTTATGTTGTCGTACTGTTTTTTCTATTTAGTTTTCCATTAAACAGCTCACATTTGCCTCATAATTTGATTTAAACTGATTAAATGAACGAGGACAATATGCATTTTTCCTCTTCCGTCCACAATATAACAGCATGCAGTCTTTCTTTGGATCATGTTGGTTCTATTTCCTCTGGGAGGGCTGAAATTTGCTCAGTGTACTGCACGCTGGGCTTTATAGAAGCTTATTTGCTAAAGAGCCATCAAAAACATACTGTCTGTTTATGAAGAAAACATTTTTTTAAGCCTGAAAAGGCCATGGGGAAGTCTGGAAATGAGCGCTCCTCTCAGAACACTTGATTTGCAATGTGAAATGTAATTTTTTAGCCCATTGGTGCCACAGAAACTACTGCCTATAGGCCTCTCAAGAGCAGACATCTGTGCTCCGATCAGGTTATTGGAGACATAATGCATGTTTATTTGGATTTTCCCTTTTATGGGTGATCTGCCGTGACCTGGGATTTCATCTCGCAACCGTGTCAGTAGCACTGGTGCACTATTGACCTACTTCAGCTGTGCTGTGAAATGTCACCAACATGAGGCTGGGCGCAGAGAATAAATCTCCGACCGTTGTGAAGTGTCACGTGAGCTCCGGATCCGTTACTCGAGTGCAGAGGGGTTCCTGCGTGTCTCCTTGGCTACTATCTTTGGAAGATCCGCTGAAAGCGTGGCGCGTGCCGAGCGCTCGTAGCTTCCTGCCCGGTTTCCATGGCAGCGCGCCTCATCAGAAGCTGCTCTTTTTTTGCTGTCAGCCTCTGTGTATTCCTGCATTTGCAAATGCAGCGCGGTGCGATAAGTAGTGCGTTCCCGACAGCTGACTTTGCAGAAGTATGAACTTGGAAAAGCAAACTGTATTTTTGCTGACATTATTTGTGCTGTTTGTGGAATTGAGAAAAAAAGACCAAAATATACCATTTGGGGTCGTAAACCCCAAATGTGAAAAAATTAGGCAGAATGTGGAAGAGATGTCAAAGTCAGGCCCTAAAAATGTTAATGAAAGATGCCCCTTTTGTTAGATTTTTTGTGATTTGATTTTAAGTTCACAGATTGCATAATATTGCATATTGTTTTTAATGAAGTGCAGCAACTAAAAACTCTGAGTACCATATTAAGACAAAGATATTTGTTTTTCCAAACGAGGCTTAATGGGTGAAAAGCCCCCCCCCTTTGATTATCCAATACTGCCTTTTTATTTATTTTTCTTACAAAACTTTACATGTCCAGTATCGCCATACCTGACAGGAGCTTTGGGAAAAAAAGGAGAGCAACGAAAAATAAACCAACCCGAAAAGGAGGAAAGATCCTTTAGACAGAGAGAGAGATAGAAACAAAACCGTAAAATATCTGTAAAAGACAAAAAAAAAACATTCTGTGGTCTCTTTGGGCAATCTGGATGGAGAACTTGTAGGAGCACCTGCAGATGGACACAGGGAAGACAAAAGAAAAACAACCAAGCAACAAAAACCACAGCAGCAAAAACACTGGTAGTCGAGACACAAACCAGCATTTTGGAATTGTGCAGCGACTGTAAAGAGGCTTAAAGAGGCTTGTGTCTGGGTGAACGTGTGTGTGTGTGCGAGCATGAACATTAAAGAGACGCAGCCCGGGTTTCACACAGATCTTGATTAGATATGCATGCAGAGGGGCCGCCGCCCACCCTCCAGAGACCAGGAAGACCACCACAGAGGCAACAAGGCGTCCATCCGAAAGGCCCCTGACCCCGACCCCTGGCCTCGGACCCACTGCCCCAGGACCAATGGCGTGCCCACAGGGGGACGCAGCGGAGAGGGGAAATCAGGGCGGCGCCCATCCGCCTCCCACCAGGGACGAGATAAACGGGCCAGAAGACCACAAGCCAAGAACCAGACCCAACCCCAGCCTCAGTCACTCCAATCAGACACACACACACAAGAAATAAACACACGGATAAGTAAAAAAGGGAGATAAATAGATACAAAGGATATATAAATACATAAAATTAAATTAAAAACTTAAAAAAGTAATACAAGTTTTTAAAAAGAACCCGGACCAGCAGAGACGCTCCATTTTCCAGGAACAAGCAACTAAAAAAATCCGTTTTTTTTGCTTTACTGTTCCTCATTTCCAGTGTTTTTAAGGTGGTATTGATCCTGACTGACTGGCTTTATTGCGACACAGAGACTTTTGATTTTAAGGTGGACAGAGGTAGCGAATCCCAGCCTAATAACCCAATCTTGAATTTATGATGACGCGGCCAGCTCGAATGCAGGAAGCCAGCGGTGTGGCAGCTAATGGAACTCTTTATTTCCTCACCAGCTCAGAGTGCATCAGCTCATTACCTGTAATTCACCTCACGGAGTTGCGCAGTTTGCTGTTGTGAGTATTACAGCACTGTTTTGATTGTAAGTAGCTTTGGATTAGCAAAGAAGCACCTCAGAAGAGTAAGCCTCAGACTCATCATTTAAAAAGTTCCATGTTACCGTGGAAGGAAAACATAGCCCGGAAAGTGGCGTTTACACCCGTATAAACATCTGCATTTCTCCACACACGACTGAAGTCAGAGTAATAGGAAACCGGCATGTGTCCCAAGCCTTCGTGTAATTAGGGTGAGCTTTTGAGCAAGCTGTGAAGCTAATCAGCTTTTCTGTGGCCGATTGTAATCCAAAAGGCCAGAGCCGGTTTCCTTTATCAGCAAACTACCGTCAGACATGCCCTGCAGCTCTCAGCACCGGATTTATTAATGAGCTATCAATGTCAGACGCACACTTTGATTAAATAGTCCCCCCCGCTTATCATAGATTTGGACAGGAGTGTGGGATGGTCCCTTTGCTCCCGCTGTGCTGGGAATGTCCTGCACACTCACAGGGGAAAAGAGCAGGTGCTATCCAAGTACACCCATTTCCCGTTCGACTGTTATTTATGACCGCTATTTATAAGAATATCCTGTGTGGAGTCATGCGAAGCCGCTGAACTTTAGCAACACTCATATTTCACATCTTTAATTTTAGATTCTTCTTAGGAAGCCCAGCTAAGTTGTGTTGAAAGATTTTAAACATAATGGAATATCAGTTTCTGAGCTGGATTAATTTCCTTTAAAAGGCCAAGCTGGAGGCCCAGAATACGACCTAACAGCACGTATTGCTGAGAGAGTAAAGAGGTTGCCGCTACAACTGAAGTTGGTGCTGCATTACTGGGTTTAATCTTAGTTGCTTTGAATGTAGAAGAAAAGCATCAACTTCAATGGGTTTTTTGGGAAAAAGCCAAAAACATCTGTGTTCACTGGCTTATCTAAAGTATTTTCATTTTTGAATTAAAGGTCTGGATCTTTTCAAAGTTTACTAAGATTTGTTAATTTTTTCTACTTTGTTTTGCTTACAAGCCCACACCCATTTTTGAAATGTTCTTTTCCTGTGATAAAACTGTGTTGCAACATGAAAAACATCCCAACAAAATACCACATGACGCGGAGCACTCCCTTCAGAATTACTAAATCATCTTGAGAAATTATTTTGTGGGAGATTGCTTCAGAGAGTAAATGTGGGAGGCGTAAAGAGGACTTTTTACTCTGAAAACTTGAGCCACCTTCTCTAGAACTTCTGTTCCTTGCAGCTGGTTTTGTTTCAACACAGCAAATACTGGAAGATGTTTGTCTATATCTGACCAAATGGCCCTCATAGTCACTTCTTTCCTCAGGAGAGTGTTCACATAAACATGATTGCACCCTCGGGGCGTCATAAACTGCCTGTTTGTCAAAGGCCAAAAACACTTATTTATATTTTGTTTCAAATTGCTTTACTAGTTCTTCAAGAAAGGGATTTATGTATTAGCTGACACCCATATCCATGCACATAATTTTCTGTTTTTTAATGACAAAGGAATGCTTTCCTACAAAAATAAACCAATTCTTAATCTAGATTTAAAGATTATGGCTGGCAAAAAAAATGGACAACTTCAAAATCCTAACAAGGGCCTTTTTATATTGTGATGCAGACAGAGAAAAATCATTTTTTGTTGTGTGGTTGCGCAAAGATAATGGAAACTACAGGTTTGTGACATCAAGTCTGCCAAAAAAACGCAGCATGTGACACATCAAAGTGAGAACCGGCTGGCAAAGAGGCCCACAGAATGCAATGAAATATAAATTAACTGCGGCACTTGAAACAAACATGCAGCATTCTACTAAAAAGGTACATCTCTAAACAACAGCTGTGGATTTAAAGATCGAGCAGAGGTTAGAAGTCCGTAACATGATGTTAACCACTGTTCTTCTTGCCACACATAATGTGTTCAAATAAGAAGATGAGATCATCCTCGTCAGTTTCTCCGGCCGTAGATTTGACGTTATTCTTGGAAATACTCCTCATCGACCCGAACGGTTACCTGTGTGTTCTGGTGGTGTTTGCTTGAGTCAGGCTGACCTGCTGCTCACTAATGTGGAAACGGAGGCAGTCGTGCATCCTCTAGCTTCCTATTTGCCTGTCTTCCACTGCTTTGCAGTCTCTGCGTTTTTTGGCTGGCGTCACCATGGAGACGGCCCAGTTGGATGCTGTACTTTTTGGTCACCCTCCATCTCTGTGTGGCTTTGAATTTTGCATTGGACGAGCTGCTGTCGGGAAAATGCACGATGACTAAACCAAGTCATCAGATCTGCATAGGGAGAAGATTTTTTTTAAAGAATCAGACAGTTTTTTTTAGAAATTGTTAACTAATAAGAAGATGTTTTGCCTTTCTAATAGATTGAAAGTTGATGCTTGCTTTGATCGTCTTTGGCCCAGCCTTAACGCAGCAGGAGATGGACCAACCAAAGGTCCAGATGCATTTTAAGATTCTGTTTTGTCTCTTATCTTTTCCTCCTTCGTAACAACAACAATTTCAGATCGTGTTAATCTGCTGTTGTTTGCGCAGAGTGCTGTGATTCCCCAAATTGTCAACCAAAAACTCTTTGAAAATCGCATTAATTGAAAAAAAAATCATATCTATTAAACTGTGTTGTCTTTGGTATTTTTGAAAGATCAAACAAAAAATGTAAACTGATTTTGTGTTTGTGACATTTTATTAACTTTTAATGTCTCAGTCATCGTCTTGTTGTTGTTGTTGTTGCCAAAATCCCAGTGATTTAATTTATACCCCCCCCTCTTAAACCACCACCAATGGTCTGATCCTCTCCCGTGATCAGACTTGCTATAAAGCTAGATGTCTCCTAGAAGCTAAATAAATAAAAAAGAAGACAACACTGTAGCTTGCTCTTGAGTTTGTCACGTATGCCTCTGACCCCAGAGCGGTCCTAAAGATAAGGACTCCAAATAGCAATAAAACCCGGAGTGAGGCAGAGTTCAGCGAATCTGGGGATAGCTCACAAACAAGCTCTGGGGTTGGAATCTGGAAACAAACTTCCATCTAATCGGCGCAGAAAAGTCAGTTGAATGTGAATTTGTTTAATGCCACTGTGGCCAGAAGAGAGGCTCCAGTAAGACGAATGGAAGCTAAGTGAAATAATAAAGTTAGACAAATTGATTAATAAGTTTGATCATGTTTAAAACTACGCCAACTCAAAAGTTTGACAGTCATCTTTTTTTTTTTAAGCATGTTTTCTGCAACCCCAGCAAAAAGTTATCACGAGGAAGCCTTTATTGGGTTTGTAAAAAATCTGTGATACGTTTCCATGAAAAGATAAACTACTCTCCTACATCAAAAGATCTGTTCAGAAAAAAGTGAAGCATTACTAGGATTCACCTCCAAACAATCAGTGGGAACGCCATGCTGTAAACATGTATCCCGGTGTAGTTAATGCACACATGGATGATGACCCCTCTTATCAAGGTTCATGACTCCCGACTTAGTGGTAATTTCATTGCATAACTTCTTGGAACTTGAAATTGTTGATTCCTTGCCAGTTATTCTGACTAAACGAAATGCAGGCATGAATTGGGCAAAATGTATAGACAATTTGCCTGGAGACAAAGTATCAAAAGTCCCTATTAGACAAATCTAGTGGACATTTTCCGTAGCTTTTTTAATAGCAAAATCAGTAGAACAAGAAACATAAGGTATCCTGATGTGCTACCGAAGCTCCGTCTTTGAATATTTGGATTCATTACGTGAGCAACTGCAAAGTAAAACTGCTGGAAACTGAAGTTTTGAGTCATGCAAAAAAGCAATGTCTGTGAGAAAAAAAGTCCTGATTGTTTGAATGATCCAACAGGGCAAGTCTTACCCGTTCAAAGGCTCCTTCCCTCCCATGTGGAACCCCATTGTCCTGATGGACTTCAACAACCTCTTCAGGACAATGGATGAAATGGGCAAGGAGGTACAGTCAGTCACAAAAATGCTGATGTCTTTTTTTAATACACATTAGGCTTTGCTCATGTTTATGTTTTTTACAAACCATCTTGTGGATTTCAGATTCCCAAAGAGGCACCCTGGAAGGCTCCACATGCCGAGGAGTGGGACAAAATGACCATGCAGCAGCTGTTTGAAAAAGTCTGCTGGACCAGGTAAGGCAGTCCGAAAACGTTTTCCTGTGAAATCTATCTGCAGCAAACTGCAAAGCTCAAGTCTGTCTATCTATGCCCCAGAGAGGTAGATTGTTAACCGTATACCATTAAAATGTATTTGCATAGTTTTTGGTTTGTTTTTTGCTGGTAAAGCCTGTGAACAAAGCACAGTGTCACAAGACTTAACACATGAAAGATCATCCATCAGAACGGCTCATTCCAGAAACATAAAGACAAGGTGGCTTTTTGAAAGCCTTGGAATTAGATTGTTGTCGACTCTTGCCAATGAAAAGGCGTCTTTGGTCCGAAACGTGTTGATCAGTGGCCTCTGTTTAGTCATTTTTGTTTTGGCTGGTAAAGAGAAATATAGATATGGATCAGAGCCAGCTACGCATATCACAGTCCATGCTTATTTAAGTGGCATTATCAGTTTTTTTTTATGTCCCCGCTCATTTTCTGGTATCAGTTACTTGATAGTAAAGTGGGTGTCGAGGCCTGGAGGCAGGGACTCAGGTCTTCTTTGTGCTTCTCGCAGTACTGTTCGTCGCTTCGCCACCCTGTTTGTCAATGTGAATGTGACGTCTGAACCCCACGAAGTGTCGGCCCTGTGGTTCCTCTGGTACGTGAAACAGTGCGGGGGAACCATGAGGATCTTCTCCACCACCAACGGTGGACAGGTCAGTCTGTTGGCATCAAAATAAATCAAAACTGGGTCCAAACTAGAGTCAAATCTTAACTTGCATCCACTCGATTTGGAGCTGAAACAAAAAAAACTCCCCGGCATGCTCTGCCCAGAATCCCGAGAACTCTCTTCAAAGTTTAGAGGACGGATCAGAGGAGATGCCAAGAAGCGGCTTAGCGTTTTTGTGTCCAGCGGAGAGGCATTCAGTCATGCGTACCAAGAGGCTGAAATCCTAAATCAGAACCAGTACTTTTACCTCGGCCTGCTCTGAATCAGCCCAGAATAATGATCAGCCTGACAAAAGATGCTTTCTTGCCGTTCTGGCGGCGCTCACTGAGCTGCTGTACTTTGCAGAGCGGGGGTGACCCTGTTGCCATGGCTACTGAGGAGCGTGATTGTGTCTCTGTAAGCAGATGACACAGCAGTGTCACAGCTCTGATGCCATTTCCTGTCGGCTGGACCACTCAGAACACGTGCGCATGCTAATGAAGTAGTGTGAGCTGTATTCAATAATCACATCTAGTTTGAGTTCATTGTCATTTCTAGACCTTAAAAATACACTCAGCAAGCAAAGGCTCATTCTCTACTAATTTGTAATAAAAGAAAAAGACAGAAGCTTTAGGATAGTGTTGTAAGATACCTGGGAAGTCCTAAACTCTGAGGGACTGGACCTCACGCTGAATCCTAACTCCTTCTTCTTTTCCGTCCACCCTAAAGGAGAGGAAGTTTGCAGGCGGCTCCGGTCAGATCAGTGAGTGCATGGCCAAAGAGCTGGGGGAGCGTGTGAAGCTGGAGTCTCCGGTGTACAGGATCGACCAGACCGGGGACGTGGTGGTGGTGGAGACGGTGAACAAACAGACCTACACGGTCAGTGGATCAAGCCGCCTACAGAACAAGGGAAAAAGAAAAAGTGGTGGGAAAAGTGTGATTTATTTCTAGCTTTCTTTATATCTGTTCATTTTAAATTAAGGTGATTTAATGACCTTAAAAACTCAGATTTTTGGATGTTTCTAGCTAATCTTGCAGCACTCTTACTCTCATTTAGCAAAAAAAAATCTCCTTTCAAAGACTGTAGTTTATCTTACTTTTTTATATTTTTATTTTAATAAAGTTCTCCAAGAGGCTGTGTCCTTTCCCCCATGTCAGACATCATATTTCCACCACACTTTCTTCATGACCGGGACAATTCACATTTAAAATCTTTAAGAAATGAAGAAAAGTATTGCTAGATGATGCCCTTCTTACTATTGAACACAAGTCCAAACAACAAAAATCAAGTGATATTTGCACTTGAATGCTTGTGTGTGCTGATATTTTTCTATTTTAATACCACGATTATTTGGTGTCATGGTAAACAGAACCAGACTTCACATAGTGCTACTGTTAGCAACCAAAAATTTTTTTAATTCTCGGGGAAAAACATTGGTTTATCTTATCAGACAGAGTTTTATCTTGGAGCTGCTGAATGAATCCTATCAGCTGTATGTCATAAATGTGCTACTAAATGCTTAGTCGAATCATTGAGTTACAACACATTTCTGTTCTGTATTTAGTGTTTGGGGGAGGAATATTACAGTAATGGACTGTAAGTCAGTGTCTGGATCTGAGAGAACAAAAGAAATCTGCTCTCTTTCTGCCATCTAGTGGCTGACTAAAAACCTTCGGGCCTGTCTTGTGGTTGCTTTAGGCCCGGTACGTGATCGTGGCCACTCCTCCGGCCATGAACCTGAAGATGCACTTCAGCCCCGAGCTGCCCCCCCTGAGAAACCAGCTGATCAACCGCGTGCCCATGGGCTCCGTCATCAAGTGCATGGTGTACTACAAGGAGAACTTCTGGAGGAAGAAAGGTAGGCTTCGGGCGGGCAGGGGGGCGGCGGTGGGAGGAGGAGGAGGAGGTGAGGCTGGCTTTAACGTGCGCTTCTGCTCCAGGTTACTGCGGCAGCATGGTGATCGAGGAGGAGGGCGCCCCCATCGGCCTCACGCTGGACGACACAAAGCCTGATGGGAGCGTTCCCGCCATTATGGGGTGAGACCAGAGCTGATCTTTTTTTTCTGTTAGTCAGCATTTTCAGCCTCGAGAATTCAGAATTCAGTAATACGGGTCACATTTACTAACATATTCATTCAGGGATACCTTTGATTCATATATGCACTTCCCACTTGCTGGCATGTCAATAAGTCAAATTAAATTTTTGCTCATCAGACTCTCTATAATTTTTACTGAGATGGGTTTGTAAAAGCTAAAGGGCAGAAAGTTTTACCGAACTGGACTGGACTTCCAGGTTGCATCAATCAAACTGATTTCTCCTGTTAAAACCTTTCTTTTGTGTGAGCGTTACAGAGTAGGTCCGAGAGTTAGGTAATGCAGTTTATGTCTGTGACTGGTGAAAAGATCTTTGTGATTCATTGCAAAGTAAGACTAAAAGCTGTGGAAATGCTCACCGATTGGAAAAATAAACCTTTTCCTTTGTGCACCAGTTTTAACCTGAGGAGTTTTAATGCATTTTAAGTACATTAATACGTTATAAGTCTTTATTTACTTTAGGAAAGTAAGAAAATGGAACTAAAATAAGTCTATCTCTCTTTTGTTTTCCCCTAGATTCATCCTAGCTCGCAAGTGTAGAAAGCTGTGTGATCTTTCCAAAGAAGAAAGGTCAGAAAACGTGTCCACAGCTAAATAAATATCACAACCAAGCTGCTGGACTGCTGTAATCCAAACTCTTTTGTCGTTTTGTTTAGGTTGAGGAAGATCTGTGAGATTTACTCCAAAGTCCTGGGCTCAGAGGAGGCTCTGCATGTGAGTCTGGACGCAGAGAGGAGCTCTGGGCTCGTCTTGCTGTGTTTATTTTAGCCGCTCATGCGTCCACTTTTTGTGTTCCAGCCTGTGCACTACGAGGAGAAGAACTGGTGTGAGGAGGAGTACTCCGGAGGCTGCTACACGGCCTATTTCCCCCCGGGAATCCTCACCCAGTTTGGCAGGTAAGTCGCGCAGATGTGCAAGCCCCAGCTTGCCCATCGGCTAGCTTTGGATTTTGTTCTTCTGGCACGTTTGTTTGTTCTTCAGCAAATAAGATCAATGAAGACGATACTCATCAAACCCTGTGCAGATGCTGCATTGAGCTTGTGTCAGCTTGGTTTTGTATTTCTGTATTTAATGCTTAATTATTACCCCCAACTTCACAGAATCATGGTTAGTTGTTCAAACTGAACCAAACGTATGTAGTTAGACTTACAAGCCCGAATAACTTTGTTTATCTCGATTATTAGGAAAGTCAATGATATGATTAACTCTTCTCTTAATGTACAACTTTATTTAAGCACCTTAATGGCACAAGTTATCTTTATTTTAAGGTCAGAGTATCAAATCCGAGTTTTTTTCTTCACTATTAAAATGACTTTTTTCACCAAATGTGCTTCATAGCTTTAGGAAATTAGGCCTAAATAAAATTCATATGGGTTTTATAAAAACTATTTTAAAACAAATCAGTAAAACACGAACCGGCAATGTAGCAGTCAGAATATTACAGATATAATACATGAAAGCAGATCTGCTTGATTTCATTGTGAACACTTGATTGAAAGCAGTTTTTAGGTTTGATTAACCACTTCCGGTGCTCTCCGTCTCTTTCTGTGTGCAGAGTTCTGAGGGAGCCGGTGGGCAGGCTGTATTTCGCGGGCACAGAGACGGCCACAGAGTGGAGTGGATACATGGAGGGCGCAGTGCAAGCCGGGGAGCGAGCAGCCAGAGAGGTGAGCACTGTGACTACTTACCTCAGAGCACCAATTGTACCTCAGAGCACACTTTCAGGATTTCATCATAGCTTAAAATATATAATAGCTTTCCGGTAGAAAAGTGAGGGAACAATAGCTATAGTTGTATATAAGCTTTACATTTCTTAGTAGGTTTTATATTTGGTTCATTCTTCAAAACAAGCAGCATTTCAGTTATCTTCTTATATTATCAAATGACCAACATGCTAAAGTAGTTTAATGAGATTAAACAGTTTGTTAGCATACCTAACAAGATTCACCTACTGAGAAGAGATGCAGGATAATTACTGTTCCTCCATTCTGCTGCGTTGAGCCCTCAAGCTGCCTCTTAGTCCTCCTACAACACCTCCTTCATCTTATTAATAACATCTTTGTTCATTAAAAGAACGCGTTCAGGAGAGTTTTCAAAGTTCACATACCTGAGGTGCATTGACTCAAAGATTACTGGGGTGTATGTGGACAAAGGGGCAACATCCTCATCAGGATTCAGAAAACTGGCACACGTCCACAGGCAGAAGATTTAACTTGTGCTGACCGAGTTTGTTTTCTTGCAGGTTTTGTGTGCCATGGGTAAAATTCACCAGAGTCAGATCTGGCAGTCTGAGCCGGAGTGTAAGGTAAGAAACCTGTTGAACCTGAGATTGCCGTTGTGTAGTTGATAAAGTTACAGCTTTTAAATGGTTCCGGTCTTGCCAGTGGGATAGACGGTTTCTCCGCACATATGAGCCTGCATCCTTCAGCTTTATCTCCACTTTTTGTAGTTGTGGTGGTCCTCAAGGCTGTGTACTGGGACCTCCTTTCGTTGTTTTGGCAGTTAAAACTCTGATCAACCTGTGTGTAGAAACACCTCAGGCTTTAAAAGTTTCCCTCTGGGATCATTAAAGTATTTCTGATTCTCATGCACACCTAAGCTGAGCCTCTGGCAACTTTATCAAACGGGTAACATCAATGATCCTTAAAGAAGGCATAATACCAGCTGGCTAGTTCTTTAAGCAGCTTGGCCCATGCTAATGTGAAGCTAACTGCTAAAACTAGGTTGTTAGCTGGTAAGATTTCAGAATGTGCCCTCATAAAGGCGTCGTGGCTTAGTTGGTCAAAGCGCCTGTCTAGTAAGCAGGAGATCCTGGGTTCAAATCCCAGCGGTGCCTTTTAAATAGTTTCCCTCTGGGATTATTAAAGTGATTCTGATTCATACCTCAGCTGAGCCTCTGACAACTTTATCAAACGAGGAATGCTAAGGATCCTTTAAGGTGCCGAAATACCAGCTACCTAGTTCATTTTACACCTTAGCCCATGCTAATGTGAAGCTAACGGCTAACACTAGGTTGTTAGGCGCTAAGATTTCAGTGCAGAATATGCTCACATAACGGCGTCGTGGCTTAGTTGGTCAAAGCGCCTGTCTAGTAAACAGGAGATCCTGGGTTCGAATCCCAGCGGTGCCTTTTAAATAGTTTCCCTCTGGGATTATTAAAGTGATTCTGATTCATACCTCAGCTGAGCCCCTGGCAACTTTATCAAATGAGTAACGTTAAGGATCCCTAAAGACGGCATAATATCAGCTTGTGAGTTCATGCTAATGTGAAGCTAACGACTTACATTCGGCTGGTGGCTACTAACCTTTCGTCAACCGAGCCTCCGGAAACTTTGTTGAACGAGCTACTTTAAGGATCCCTTAATCCTTAAATCCCTTCATTCTACAAATTAGCCAATGCTAATCTGAAGGTAACGGCTAAAATCTGCCCTTATAACGGCGCGGTGGCTTAGTTGGTCTAATGTGAAGCTAACAGCTAACACTAGGTTGTTAGGCGGTAAGATTTCAGAGCAGAATGTGCCCACATAACGGCGTCGTGGCTTAGTTGGTCAAAGCGCCTGTCTAGTAAACAGGAGATCCTGGGTTCGAATCCCAGCGGTGCCTTTTAACTGAACTGTGTTTCATTGGAGTCACTCACAAAAATATAATGGTTGACCTGTGACATTACCTCTGTCCTCCATCATTCAGGAAGTCCCTGCACTCCCATTCGTCACCACCTTCTGGGAGAGGAATACGCCTTCGGTTGGAGGTTTCCTGAAGCTGGTGGGTGTCTCCACCTTCCTGTCTGCTGCTGCGGCCGCCGGCCTGGTGGCCTACAAGAAGGGCCTCCTGCCACAGAGTTAAACTGTCCACACCCCTCATCTCACTCATCCACACCTCAAGAGGAACACTACGCAGTAGAAACTGTACTCTGGCACCTCTGGTGCACTACCTTTTGCCCTAATCTACAAAGTAAATGCATAGGGTTTAGTTTTTTTATTTTTAATTTTTTTTAAACACTGTGCTATATGAGAAGACTGTTCAGCTCATGCAAAAACATCAAACCATCCGAGTGAGTGAGACAAAGAGGGATTAGTGGCCATGAGATGTAGTTTAGGAAGAGAGAAGATTTAACGTTTAAATCAGATGTCAGATTGTAAAACTAATGAAGGAAAATAATCTGAATTGTCAAGAGGAAAATATAAATATCTACTATTTCATACATTGCCAATGACATGCATGCGAGTTCGTGAACTCATCGTGATTTTCTCGTGCGCGTGAGTTGTGTCTGTGTGCGTTGTGCGAGCATTTCTGAGTGTGTGTTTGTCAGAGTGAGTGTGCGTGCGTGCGTGTGTGTTTCCACTGTGTCTAATTACCTCTGCTGATTTTAGGTGCTGATTAATTCAGGCCAAACAGCTGTAGCTGCGTGACGAGATAGGGGAACATCAAAGCAGAGTAGAGCTTCAGAAATCACAGAGGGGGATGGAGGATAAGGCTGAGATGATTCTGTCATATTCTGACTTTGTGTCAACAAATCCCGTGAAGCGAACCCCGAAAACAAACAAACAAACAAACAAAAAACAGCACATTTCAATGCTTTTTTCCAGATATGGACAGATTTGACTATTGTCTTGATCTGGATTTAACTATTTAAACATCTTTACTATCAATATAAACCTAGAATATTTGTTAGATTAAACATTAAATGAGTACGGGTCAATATTTTAATTAGCTTTTACCTAATACTTTCATCCATAGTGTTCCCATACAACAACAATGTTTATATTTAGGACCAATTTTAGGATTTATCTGTTTTCATGGGATTTGTTGATAAAAAACAAAAAAAAAACAATAGAATTTGCTTCGAAATAAGAATAAAAAGAATTGTGTTAGCCTTATTCTTTCAACTAAAGCCTGTATTAGGGGTGTGTAGTGCTATAAAGCTGCTCGGTGTCTTTATCTTTTGGTAAGTGTAATGCACTCGAATGTATTTCCTTCAGAATAGATTCATCCTTATTCATGTTGAATTAAATGAATAATTTTTTAACTTGTATTTTTACCGTTTTAGTCACAGTTTAATGCAACAGGTTTCATTGCCACTAAAGAACTCCAACCACCCCTTTTTAAAAAAAAATGAAATAGCCCAAAACTCACATTTTATTAAGCCATGGAAGCTTATTCACTACAGTCCAAAATGAAAATATAGGGCCAGACTATGGGCCTAATTGCACCAATCAGACGCTGTGCTGCATGTAGCTTTAAAAACAGGAAGTCCCAGTTGATTCTGCCCCCCCCCCCCCACGGTCAGCAGTCCATCTTCAGAGTGGAAGTCGTGCTTTGTCTTAGTGGAAATCTGACGTTGGAGGCAGATGCGAGGATAAAAAATAAAAAAAACACACGCTAAGAGCCCTGCGCAGTGTGTACTGTACAGTGTGTGTACGGCTTTGTATGCCCCCCCCCCCAGACGGAATTGTGTTCTTGTCCCAAAGACCGGTGTTTGTGAGTGTAGTTTATCTGTCGTGCCTTAATGGAAGTTGTCGTGTCTCGTCCTTTTTTCTCAAGTGCCTGTGTGACTCTTACACTCTTGTCTTTTCTCCCACCCTCCCCTGAAACATCATCAGTAACTGCCAATACAGCGGGAGGTCAAGGGTCGGGCGGGGGGGGGGTGAAACCAAACACCCAACCTATCTGAGTGTGTTAACATTTTTACATTTCCCCCTGCATTACCTGAGTTACGTCCTCACTATAAACTCGACTCAGGTTAAACCAGGTGTAAAAGCTCAGCGTCAGCTGGGAGTAAAAAGATCTCTCGACTGTTGGGGCGATCAAACCGCTTATTTCCCAAATCTGTGGGTGTTTGTGTTGTGATATCTGTGATTCATTATATATGTCTCCTCCCGCTCTGGTGCCCCTCACCCCTGTACTTTGCATTGTTCTCTATTCCTTTGGGCCAACTCTGGAAGTAAGGATTGGATAATGCCGTATGCGTGCGCTCTTTTTAGTCCTCCTTTAGAACTAATTCTTGTTAACACTTACTTAGCTAATGTTGGTGAACAAAGTCCTTCAAAGACCATGGCCGACGCCAAGCCAACAGCAAGCACGACTTACATTGTCTGATCCTTCTGGGTTTTCCAGAGTCTATACCTCTTGTCCTCCTGTGTACATGAGCCTCCTTAACTATTCCTGTGACCTGTTCTTTGATGTCTTTGATTCTTCAAACGAAAGCTGGTGATATTTAAAGAAAAATGTGAAATAAATCTTTTAATCGTCTCAAACTGTTTTTTTTTCTCTCATTTTGTGTTTGACTTATTTTTTTAAAAAGAGCAATTTGTAGAGGACTCTAGAGAGAAACCAAATCTGAGTAGATTTTTCAAGTCAAAGTCAGTGGCGGTCTACAAGGCGGTGTGGAGTTTTGAAGAAAACCTCTGGAGAAAGCAGTCGATTAGTCCCCGTCTTTCTAATGTATTTTTGCTAATGCGCCGTGACAAATATGCTTGTCAAAATAGCTAATGAGAGATGAGGACTATTTGGAAATGTGCACATGGAGGAACATACTGGAGAGGCTGTGTTTCTCATTTGGTGCACCCCCCCCCCTCACCCCCCGCAGGATCCTGCAGTAATGGGCAAAGATCAGAGGAATTACAACATTCCTCCACAACAATAAAAGAAGTGGATTAAAAAGTGTAGCCGCGGCCTTGAGCGACATAAAATTATTTTGTTTAAATGGAAGGTGGAAAGTTAATGTCGGTTGACAGCAGGAATCCCGACGGTGGAGATAAGCCTTCAGGTGGACTGTGTTCCAGTGCTCCAAAGTATGTCAGAGCACCATGTAAAACATAAGGTAGATAATTGGATGAGGCTTGAGCGAGGAATGAATTTGCAATAATTCGTCAAAAGAAGGATTTCAAATGTTGAACAATGAGCATGAAGTCTGCATGGTTTGGCTGTTGCTCAAATGATTAATAAACTGTGTTTGCTAATACTCGGCTCATCAAAAGCAGCAGAATGTGACACACTCAGTCCATAGCTCAGCGCTCATGCACATAAATTGGTAGTCCAGTTGAATGACCGGGTCAAGATGTGACTGTAGCTTAACTCAACACTGCATGGACCTCCTAATATAAGAGCCAAATAAACAATCTAATTGCTCTAAATCCTCTTTGCTGAAAGAAATGGCTGCAGTGAACACAAAAAAAGCCACATTTCAGTAAAAAAAAATCACCACAAAGAGGAAAAACTGTCTTATTTGTAATTAACTGTTTCTTATTATCATTATGCTTTTTTATTTAAAACTAGTCATTTGCTCATCAGTTTACAGTTTCCTTTAGCCCACTTGTATCAGCTCCAACTTTTTTATTTGTGTATGCACAATAACAAAAACCTCTGAGATCTTTCACAAAGTCTCAGAAGAGCCATGTCACAGCTCACGAGTGCTGGTGTTCAGTAAATATGATTAAAAAAAACATCAGTATCACACCCACCTGCCAGGCCTCCACTATCCAGCCTCTAATCGTAGTATATTTCGAAAAAACTGAGCTGCAGAATCAATATTAGTCCAACTCTCTGCACCATTATCATTATTTTCCCCACCCAGGTGGACCTCAGGTGGTTGTGTTTCACGGAACCCACCACTAGGGGGCAGATGACACCCATCAAAACGAACAGGGCAGCTGTGACAAAAAAGCCAAATGTTGTCATTCAGGCTCACACCACTGTGTCTCTCTCTCCTGACTGTTGTGTTTGTTGCCGTGCACACGCAGAGTCACACAAAGGGGATGCTGTCACGCTAATCCTGAGCCGGGGCCGGTCATGTCGTCCCCGGGCTGCTTTCGCTGGTTGACATATGGCGCCTCGTGTTGCTCTCGTCACCCCTCGTGTGAGCTGTTATAGCCTGGGGGGGGGGGGGGGGGGTCCAATCCCAGATTGACACGGCCAGCTTAGTCACCGCCAACACTTTCCAATCCCACGCCGGCGTGCTCTCTCCAGTCGGCGTGGAGGTTGTGTAACGGCAACCGTGAGCCGAAGGCCTCCCAAACGAAGGGTCTCCCCGTTAGACCGCAGCCTGCACTTTTCTGAAAGCTGACCCCATCCATTTGCCTCCCTATCCATCAGACGGCGAATTGGATTCTGCTTCCTGTGGTTTGTGTTGCGTGGGGTACTCAGACTGTGGTCTGAGCCACAGCCACCGGCTAATCCACAAACCTCCATCAAAACCTCATCAGCTCACTTACAAAATAGTTCACAATCCCTCTTTTAAAGCTCAATGTTATCTTTTAGCTTTAGCTATTAGGTGAGAGACAGTCAGAATCAACAATGCTGACCTTTATGTTTGTGTGATTTGTGTAAAATCCTCCATTTTGCCCGCACCCATGTTCCATTCTTCTGGTGTGGTATAAAGAATTTATATGTCGAACATCTGCATGGTGTTGTGCTGTAGGTGTTTTTACCCGAATTCCAGACTGAAACTTTTTCGTAGAACATTTCTTTCGGCTCACAGAAAGGGGAAAGAAGCGGTTAAAGGTCTACATCTGGAATCCTCAGCAGCCGCATTCGGCCTTTGTCGGCGCAACAACCCAAAGGACACTACAGTATCTTATTCCAAAGATCAATATCCTGCAAACCCAATAACATAACATTTATATACCTCTGTCGTTGCTTTCTGAGAGAGTCCACTTTATTAATGGGTGATAAAATGTCTTATAGCGAAACTACAGGCCATTTATAAGGATAAGGCTTTTGCAAAAGCTTTGGTTTAGCTTGTATTCTTCCCGTTGTCCAGAAGCTAGCTTGTTAAAACACTAAGCATCACATTCAAGAGCTGTAACCTGTGAAGGAAGGACAAAAACAGACAGCAAAGCACTCCA